TAACATGAAACACTATGGCTATCACAAAGTAAAATGCATAAGTAAAGGGCTCGGGTAAGAGATAACCGAGGCACGCGGAGACAACAATGTATCTTGAAGTTCACACCCTTGTGGATGCTATCCGTTTGGAGTGGTGTGGAGGCATAATGCTCCCCAAAATGCCACTAGGGCCACCGTAATCTCCTCATGCCCTCGCACAATGAAAGGTGGCGTGATTCCACTAAGGGATCCTTGAGGGCGGTTACCGAACTCGTACAATTGGCGACCGTTGTGGGCGGTCACCAAACCCATACAATTGGCGACCCTTGTGGGCGGTCACCAAACACGTATATTTGGCGACCCTTGGGGAGCTCACCAAACCCGTACAAATTGCTCGGGGCAATCTTCACAACTTAATTGGAGATCCTGAAGCTTGCCCCGAGCTTCCCACCATAATGGTTGAGCTCTGTGACACCACCAACCGTCTAGGGCGTCCAAGCACCCAAGAGGTACAAGCTCTAGGGTGCCCAAACACCCAAGAGTAATAAGCTACTCAACTTTTCACTTCCACGAATCACCGTGGAGAACTCAAATGGATAAAACTAATGCAATGGTAAGAACAAACGAAGTGCTCAAGTCCCGCACTCTCAAATCCCGCCAAAGCAATGAAAGCTATGAAGGAATACAAGAGGAAGAACAAGAAGAACACAAAAGAACTCCAAGATCTAGATCCACAAGCAGGTTCCTCTCACTTAGAGAAGATATGGATTGGTGGAAATGTAGATCTAGATCTACTCTCCCTTTTTTCTCAAAAGATGCAAGATTCATGGTAGGAATGGAGAGTAAGCAAAGCTTTTTGAAGGTCAACAATGGAGGAGAAATCTTGCTTTGAACGGTTGGGGCAATGGGGAAGAAGACCCCCTTTTATAGTGGGTGGAGAGATCCAACCATTAAGTTCACTGGTCGTGCTCAAGCGATGCTACCGCTCCGGGGAGCGGTACTTCCACTTCGCCCAGTCAACGCAACCCAACGAGTACAGAAGTACAAGGACGGTAGTTTCGCCAGAGCGGTACTACCGCTCCGACTAGTGGTACTACAGCTAATTGTCAACGGGTTACAAAGGAACCGGCGGAAGTGGAGCGGTGCTAGAGCGGAAGTAGCGGAGGCAGTAGCAAGCAGCAGTACCGCACAAGCGGTACTACTCTTCAACTACCGTTTATAAAACAAAGACTCGCAAAAGCTAAATTCCAAGTGGAAGTAGGAGCGGCATTGGTCTGTGGAAGTACCGCTCGGTACTACCGCCTGGATGCTGTAAAATTGCCCGAGCAAAACAGATGGATGTAAGTAAGACTAAAACCTCCATAACTTCTACAAATGAACTTTGTTTTCGACGAACTCAACCTTGATAGAAAGCTAACAACAAGATCTGTGAAACCTCCATAAGTGAAGATCTAACAAAAACTCTGACAACAAAAACATAAGAGATGATGCATCTGAAATCCGTTTTCAATGAACTTGAGCATGTCGAGAAGATGAACACAAGCTACAAACTCACATAGAGAAAGGCCAAACAAGAACCAAGAAATATGATGCCAAGGAGGCAATGGTTTGAGCTCTCTATGAACGATGCGATCAAGCTACTGACGTGAGAGCCCCCCTTGATAGTACGACTATCGATCCTATAACCCAGTCTCCCAACTAACACCATGAGACCGATAAAATAGAAAACCCATCAAGGACCAACCTTTGCCTAGCGCATAGCCCACTTGAGCTAGATGATAATGATCTTATCCTCCTCAAGTTCTATCACCTTTCTTGGTTGCGTTGGCTCGATGAAGCCTAGTAGTTTTCTCCCCTATACTCCACTATGGGTGAGCCTCTTCTTAGGACATCTTCACATGTCCATTGTCACCACAATGGACGGAAAGCTTCAAGGATGTGATCTCTTCGTGATGCTGCACTTGAACTTGCCAGACACAACCTTGATGACGATCACCACTTGTTGTCACCCTCTATTGGTTATATGAAGTCTTCCTTTTAATGCAAGCCCATGAAAACATGTCTAACCCCACAAAGAAACCTCACAAATACCATGGTTTAGTACTTCAAGCGCAGTTGACAATGCTCACCATAGCATGAGATCTCTCTTGATCCCACTTGGTAAATATTTTACGCATTGTGTGTTGGTCAACTTAAATCACTCTTTGTATTTAGTCTTGATCAACCTTAAATCTTATCTTCTCACTTCATTAAGATGATGTCTTGATGGTAAACATGAATGTTTACACAATCTTCTTCTTCAAGACATGCTTGCAATAGGCTCAACGCTCACATGACCAATCTTTGGATAACTCCATGAATAACACCTTGATCAACACATAATCTCCTTCTTATAGCCTTGAAACCAACTAATAGTCTTCAAGCCATGCTTATGGACAAACCCTTCAAATATCACTCAAGGCAACCATTAGTCCATAGGGATTATCATCAATTACCAAAACCAAACATGGAGGCACCATGCTCTTTTAAGGTGGCATATGTGCATGTTAAGATAATAGAGGTAGTGAACATAAACTATTAAGGTATATAGGATTTGCCTTTGAATCCATCACAGGTCCAATAACCGATAACGATGGTCTCATACTGATTCGGTGATGACATGATCCATAGATCAACTGTTGGTACTTCGAGTAATGCTTGAAACAACACCAAACCAGAATGATCAACCTGAACCAATGCGTTAGTGAACTGTTAACGATGTGTGGTCAACTTGTCGTGCTCCCTCAATTGAAAATCGACCTCATAAAGTGGGGTCCATTCTTTGGTTGCGCATAGCATAGGTGCAATGTTGCTTCGCGAGGACTCCTTGACTTGAAAACACAATCGATGGTTACTCACGGTTGAGATTGTGAGTCATTTTTTCACTCATCCAATCCAATTTATATTTGAAGTGATACTGAAAAAAGCACTTGCAAAACAAAAAAATCCGCAAAAGATAACCTAAAAAGAGAAAGGCAAATAATGGGCTCACCATGACTATGCTAGTAATATAAGAGCATTTATAGATCATTAAAGTAGCGATCCAAACGCTTTTATATTTATTTATGAAGGGAGTACAAGTCAAAATATGCCAGTGCGTCCAAGTAAACGCTGCTTGACTGGGGGACCGGAAAATCTGCCCTTATTCGGGATGGTTCGTCCACGTCGTTTTTTCAGTGTGTGCGCTAAGTTTTCTTCCTCCTTGACTTCCCCCTGCAGCGTGAGTGGATGCACCGGTGCTCCCGATGGGTGATAAACATCGCATGACTCTACGAGAAGAAAGATCACTCCGGTCCCGACACGTGGCAACCAACCACGGTGCTCATCGGTAGATGCCGAGGCGCACGACGAAAAGTCGGTCAATGCTCCCCTTTCCCCCACAGCCAAGCCAAACGAACAGCCGGCCGTGCCATCCTATCACCGCGCCCCATTCCGCCGGATATTTTTGACGGCTCAGAGCCAGCCCACGAGACGCCCGCCCGCCCGACCCGCCCACACCGCCGCGCCGCACCTCACCTACCTGCACTGCTCCGAGCGGCCCGTCTGGCCGCCTCCGCTTTCTATATAACGGCCGGCCGGGGGCCTCGCGAGGTGTCCGTCTCCTGTACGCTGCCACGCCAGAGCAGAGCAGAGCAGAATCCGGTAGCCAGATCGAACGCCCCACCCTCTCTCCCTCCCTCCCTCGCCCCCTTCCGATCGAGCCCGTCGCCATGGCGCCGCCCCGCGTCCGCCTGCTCCTCGCCCTCGCCTTGTGCCTCGCGTTCGCGCGCGCGGACGCGGCCGTGAGGGAGCTCAGGGTCGGGTACTACGCGCAGACGTGCCCCCGCGCGGAGGAGATCGTGCGGCGCGTCATGGCCCGCGCGCTCGCGCGCGAGGCCCGCAGCGTCGCCTCCGTCATGCGCCTCCAGTTCCACGACTGCTTCGTCAACGTGAGTCGCCTCTGCTCTCTTCAAACATGCGCGATCGATCCCCGTCGCGCCGCGCGCTCTGCTTGCTGCCGCCGCGTGGTGGTCTCAGTCTCAGGTCTCTGATCGGTTTCGGCGGCGATTTTATTAATTGTGCCAGGGATGCGACGGGTCGGTGCTGATGGACGCGACGCCGACGATGGCGGGGGAGAAGGAGGCGCTCTCCAACATCAACTCCCTCCGCTCCTTCGAGGTCGTGGACGAGGTCAAGAGCGCCCTGGAGGAGCAGTGCCCCGGCGTCGTCTCCTGCGCCGACATCATCATCATGGCCGCCCGCGACGCCGTCGTGCTGGTACGTACGCCGCCTTCTCCCCCCGCACCTGGCTGCTCGGGTAACCCGTGCCGTGCCCCGTAGCCGCAGCCACGGCGCAGATTCTCCCTTGCTTTTCGTCGTTCACGAGACGAGACGGGGACGAGGCCGATGCCCATGGGGTTCCATCATTCCATTCCATTGCCTGGCGTTTCCTGTGCAATTAATTGTTGCCCCGGCCGACCTGCCGGCGGTTTCGGTTCCAGAATCCAGACTCCAGAGGCCCGGTCTTTCAAAATGGAAAAGGGGGAAGAAACTGAGCGAAACCTGGGGTCAAGAATTGCCTTAATTAATTTCCTTTTTGTCCACTAGTAGTATATGAGTACTTCAGTGCTGTGCGTATCAGTGCTCTGCCATTAATTTTTGGCAATTCTATTTGGTGCTTGGCTGGCAACACTAGTCACCATCGTCGCAAGCGGCCCCGCCTACTCGTACCTGTGGTCAGCGTCTCTCGCACGCACCGTCTTCTCCTTGCCTTTTTTTTTTAAAAAAAAAATCCTGCGCATCCACTTCGTTCGGAGCTCCTACACTGTTGACGGCACAACGAGCGATCGAGAATCGCTTATCTTCGCACTGACTTTTATTCCGGTAACCACTTGCAGTATTTGGCATTAATTTTTGCCAGAAACGTTCATGGGCAGCATGTTAATGCCCCCCTTTTAATGTTTTTCTGAAATGGTGAGTCGTAAATATTTCCAAACAAAACCGGATGCGCGATGCTTTGACAGGGACTGACGCATGGGCGCCCCTTGCTCCCCGTAACCACCACACTGAACCAGAATCGGGGTGGAATGGCGTCAGCGTCACCCCCCGCGTCCATCCTGCCGTGCCTGGACAGCGTTGCACGACTTCTAGGCAGGCGCATTTAACGAGGCCGGAAACGGCCAGGCGAGGTGGCCTAGCCTGCGGAAGGGCCGACGGCCCCAGCTACAGGTATAGTAACCCTGGACGTCTCTGTGCCGACAGGCGTACCCCGTCCGGTGCTGTCAAGCCGGTCCCTGCGCCAAGAACGACGAGGGACAAGAGTAGGATAGCATGGGGCTGGGCCTCGTGCGTGGCTGGTCCACGCGAGATCCTTTGCCTCCTTCCTCTGTCTCTCACGCACGTTCTGTCGGATCAGAATCAGACGATAATGCTGCCGCTGCTGCAATGGAGATCGTTTTAGTACTTCGCCTGCTCCCTTGTTGTTTTGCGCGCGTGTCGCCATGCCAGGCATGCGTGGCGTTCATCCGGGTGTTTGATTGGTTCAGGCCATGGAGCTAATATTTGTTTTCAGCGTATTTTAGCTCTGTTTCCACTTTGTCGTTGTTACGTTCTCGGTCGCATAGAGTTGATGGAGGGATCGATTCGTCGAGTACAGTAAGCAGCTGAATTGCTTGAATATAAAAGAGCGCTGCACCATCACTAATGGGTCTTGATTTCATTATATTTTAGCACCAATTAAACTTCTTTCAGAAAGTGAAAATTGCAGGAGTTAACAGGTTAACTTGGCAAGTTTTGATTGATAATTACTCCACAATACTCCCTTCGTTTTTATTTAATTCGCATATTAACTTTTGTCAAAGTCAAGCTCTGTAAATTTTAACAAAGTTTATAAACAAAAATATTGACATATACAATAACAAATCAATTTTATTATTGAATATACTTTCTCATCATATAAATTTGTTATGGTGCATATTTGTATTGTTTTCTATAAACTTGGTTAAACGTTACAAAAAGTAAATAAAAACAAAGGTTGTACAACAACAGCAACAACAATAGAGTCAACATTTTGACTTGGTTTGACTCTGAATTATTTATTTCCTCTTCTCGCAGACTGGTGGACCCAACTGGGACGTGAGGCTCGGGCGGGAGGACAGTCTGACGGCGAGCCAGGAGGACTCAGACAACATCATGCCCAGCCCGCGCGCCAACGCGAGCGCGCTCATCCGCCTCTTCGCCGGCTACAAGCTCACTGTCACCGACCTCGTCGCGCTCTCCGGCTCGCACTCCATCGGCGAGGCCCGCTGCTTCTCCATCGTCTTCCGCCTCTACAACCAGTCCGGCTCCGGCCGCCCCGACCCCCACATGGACCCGGCCTACCGCCAGGCGCTCGACGCGCTCTGCCCCCTCACCGGCGACCAGAACGTCACCGGCGGCCTGGACGCCACCCCGGTCGTCTTCGACAACCAGTACTTCAAGGACCTGGTCCACCTCCGCGGCTTCCTCAACTCCGACCAGACGCTCTTCTCCGACAACGAGGGGACCCGGCGGGTGGTGACGCAGTTCAGCCAGAACCAGGACGCCTTCTTCAGGGCCTTCATCGAGGGGATGGTCAAGCTGGGCGAGCTCCAGAACCCCAGGAAGGGGGAGATCCGGCGCAACTGCCGCGTCGCCAACGGCGGGCGGCCGCCGCTGGAGAAGCAGGTCGCGCCGTTCCGGGTGCTGGATTTCTGAACCTGGTTCTACGGTAGGCCTGTAGGTGTCTCATGGGAGCTCTGGTGTCGGAGCGATCGATATGCTTGACATAGGTTTGGTCGTGTCGCAGTTCTGTGCCTACCCAAGAATGGTTTCAGGTCTGGCTACTGCTTATTGCTAATTGTTGAGGAATAATAGAGAAATCGATGCCTCTGGTACGTTGATAGCCATGGGCTGCATTAAGGTTTGCTTCTTTGTTGATTCTCCAAAGATTAGCTAGCAATAGTGCAAGATGCTTAGAGAGATGGTTACAAAAACAAATAATGATTTTAAGAGTCAATATCATTGAGAGTCATAGAACTGAGGTTCAAAGTTCAGTTTGATTTTAAAACTTTAAAAATATGAAATTGCAGTAACTTAAATTCTACTTAAGCGTGCAGATACGATCATAAATGTGTATGTGGGCGTATCCGCGTATATGGCCTCACTGTCACTGAGTGATGGCGCTTGGGCGATGCTTTTTTGCACAAAAGGGCCTCGTATTTTTTATTTGCTAAAAAAGCCAAACACCGTGACATTTTTTGCACAAAGCCCCCTCACATTATTTTTTTTGTGGAAGAAGCCAACCACTGTGCTACTCATAGATGCGAAAATTAACACAAAAAGTTAGAACACGAGCCGGTCTAGCCACTCCACTCTTCACATTCGAATGTCTAATATGGATAACAAACTTATATGTATTTTTGAATCTATGAGCAGTGAGTCCCACCTATTATTACATAGTGAAAATTAACGCAAAAAACCATGGTCGCCAAGTCTCAAACTCACGACCAAAGGTTAGCATACAAGCCGCCCTAGCCACTACAATCTTTACGGTTTTTTAGACATCCTATAATTTTCATGTGTACACATCTACAATTTATAAGAGCATCTCTAGCACACCCCGCAAAAGCAGTCAAACCAGTAAAAATCCACGTTTTCAGTTTCATGGTGTCAAAAAATATCCTGAATAGACCCCGCAAAAGTGTTTAAACCCGTAAAAAATTTGCAGGCCCCTGAGAATTCATCCCTATGACCTTTAATTTTGCAGATTTGGAGGCAAAATATAAAAGAAACTGCAAACTGGTCAACACTACACGACAAGAAAATTCCGCCGTGCGCACACGTGCACAGATGACCTTCCGCCATGGAACTCGCTGGAAACTCGCCGCCGCTGCTGCGGCGTCGGCATGCGGAGTAGATCACAGAAGTAGTGGCTGGAGACTCGAGCAGCTACCCCGCCACAAACGAGCTAGCTAGCAAGCTCCTGATCCATCCGGCCACGAACGAGCTAGCTAGCTAGCTAGCAAGATTCTCGGTCCATGCGGCCACGAACGTTGAGGGAGTAGCTACCAAGCTCTTGGATCCAGCCGGCCATGAAATAGCTAGCTCGCTCCCAGGTCCATCCGGGAACAGAGGAGCTTGCTCCTGGATCGATTCGGCGACTACCATGGACGACGGGAGCTGACTATGAACACAGGCAAGAGAAAGAAGAAAATACGGGAAAGAATATACGTGAATATTTTTTTTACGGTCCGTTATGCGGGATCTGCTTCTGCGCCGTCCGAGCCGGCCCACAAAGCCGTTTTTTTCGCGAACTGCAAATGCGTTTTGCGGGCCGGCGGAATGCGGGGTCTGCTAAAGATGTTTTAACTGGCCTGAATGTACTAGAACAAAGGTGCTCGTCGAGCTGAAATGGTCTAGGGTTAGTGCAGCCCATTTTGCACTTGTTTAATTTTTTTTAGAAAATTGTAGATAGTATGCAAATTATAACTTCAACATTTACAATGAAGTTTAGATATCCGTGTGTTATTGTACAAACAAACGAAATAACATACTTTTAAAAGTGTTCATGTAATATTTTGAAATTATTCATATATTTAAAGCAATGTTTATGAATTCTAGAAAATGTTTGTCTAATTTAAATTAAAGCAAATATTTTCAAAATTGAAATTCAAAAAAATATTTCAATTAGACAAGCATTTCAAAAATTATACGCACATTTGTATAGTTCAGTGTTTGTATAATTAAAATTATACATAATTTAAAATGTTGATATGAATATTCAATCATGTCTAATATACAAATTATACATAATTAAAATAGTGATACTATTCATCATCCAGGATGCAGAACAAGTTATTCTTCACCCGAAGTAATCTTACGAACACTTCATAATTAACTTACAATTGGAATTCAAATAGTTACATTCCTATTGATTCACTACGTAAAATTTGGCATCGGAAAAAAAATATATAGATCATAAGACAAGAAAATTTGTAGTTTTATGTATATTTTACACTATGTTTTTACGTTTGTAATTTTACATAACATAAAATATATTTTTACGGCCATTATATATTTTCTTACGGTCTTGTCGGGGATGGACCCCGGACAGGCAACGGAACCCGGATCCTCTTAAAAAAACAACGGGGTTGGCACCACCCCGCTATACTGGCACGCGCTTGGCCGGGTCGCTCGACCCAGCCAACCCCCGCAAGCCGGCCAGACTAGCCGACCCGGCAAGACATGTCGACTCGGCCCAACAACTAGCGCAAGACAGCCGAACCCGGCATGACCAAAGCCTCCTCAACAAGCCAGCGCCACCCGTGGCGTGCTACGCAATCCAGCCACGGGTCAACTCCCGTCCCATCCAGGCCGTATGATGGGGACGAGACTTCAATCAACAATGACCGAGGCAACAGTGCCCCGCCCATGCCTCTAGTCAGCAGGAACGTGGCAACAATGCCCCTCACCTACCCGCCGACCAAGGCCGGCGTGGCTACAGTGCCCCCGCCTTCACCGCTGACGACGGCAAGCAACAACCTGACGGAGAGCACTGTACGCGACTCGACTCGGCCACGCCCTGACGATCGACAAGATGGCGCACAGTCCCCCTAGGCATGCGGGGCCCGCACCTAGGGGAACCCGGCGAACCACAAGCCCTCAACAGGATCCAGCCCAGGTTCCCGGATACCGACAATACGGACCCACCGACTTGTAACATTACCATTGTACCCCCGGAGGGTTGGACTATAAAACCCCCGAGAGCCCACGGTCAAAAGGAGGGCGAGAGAGAGGGCAAGCAGAAAACACATACGAGAGAAAAGCAAGCAAGCATAGGACTAGCCACAAAACTGCAACACCGGAGAGAAGAAGCAGCCCAAGCCTTGGCCAGCTTCCTTCCTCCTCCATACAGCTCCAGGAGCAACATTGTACTATCGATCATCCAACTACACTCGGCAGGACTAGGGGGATTATCTCTCCGAAGAGCCCCGAACCTGGGTATGTCTGGCGTCCCGCGCCCGCTCATGCCAACCTCGCCTCTGGAGTCCATCGACGCCCTCGAGCCTCCTCCTCTCTTTAGCCGTCCCTTGGCATCTGCCGTGTGCCCACCACGATAGTTGGCGCCCACCGTGGGGCAGCTCGAGGAGCTGGCCGGGAGCATGCTTCAGACGGGGCCCTTCTCCTACACCGACGAGTCCGTCGCGCTGGCGGGCGACGTCGTCATCACGCTTGCCGCCTCCTTCGCCGCGCTGCGCATCTTCGATACGTTCGCGGCCGACGAGTACCCCATCGAGGTGCTCAGCTACTCCGACTCTCCCCTCTCCCTCGGCGGCGGCGTTTCCGCCGGGGTAATGGACGTCCATGTGGAGGTCTTCATTACCGGCGACGACGCCTCCTCCTCGTCGAGCAAGACGAGGAAGGCTGCCGAAGCCAGGGCCGCAGCGGAACGGATCGAGCCGTACGATCCGTTGCGCGCTGTGAGGCAGAGCCTTCGCATCCCATCGACACCGACATCGACGCCACCAACGTCGTTGAGGCCCGAATCCAGCTCGAGGAAAGGCGCCAACAGATGATGGACCTGTCTAAGACGCTCGCCGCCACTCAGCATCGCCTGGACGCTGCTCAGCAGGAGCGCGATGCCGCCTACGGATTCACGCCCGCCGCGGCCGGGCCAAGCCGGGTTGCCGATGTGCATGCCCGGGGAGGAGCGATCGGCCGGGCCCTCGGCACCGTCCCAACCGTCTACGAGACCCCAGCGAAGAACATGCGCGCTGCCCAGGCAGCCGCAGCCGGCCTGGACCAGCTCGCAGGTGAGGAGCTGAAAGAGCGCATCGGGCAGATGCGCGAACTCCTCCACGCCGCCAACACCCAGCAGGACCGCCTCAACTAGCTCGCCAAGCCGGCGGGATCCGGTTCCGCCCGCCTTGGCGGGCCCGGCGGACTTCTGCACACCGCTTCCTCGCCACCCGGCGAGGCCCACTCCGGCTGAGTCCGGACTCGGCGCGACCTGGCCGCTACAGCCGCCGGCGGATTGGGTGACGAGTCCGTCCTAGAGATCCAGCACGGACCCGACCAGCATGGCCGGCGTCCGGCTCCAACCGACCCCCCCGTGGCCTGGCCACAAGTCGACTCGGCCCGCGCGCCATCGACGATGCCGACGCTCGCCACTGCCTCGATCGGCTCGCTCACTCCCTGGAGGTGGAGGAGAGCGGCGCTATCGGGCCGGCGTGCTTCGGCCCGCGCATCCGGGAGGAGCCCTTCCCCAAAGGATTCATGCTCCCCCATGACACCCCCAAGTACAACGGGATGGTGAAGCCAGAAGACTGGCTCACTGACCACACCACGGCCATTGGCATCACCGGTGCCAATCGTCGTCTCGCCGTACGCTACGCACCGCTCATGCTCCAAGGGTCGGCCCGCACGTGGTTGAACAGCCTGCCGATGGACTTCGAGGAAGCCTTTGTCCGCAACTTCACGGGGACCTACAAGCGACCCGGTCGCCCTAACCAGCTCGCCATGTGCGTACAAGGGCCTACGGAGACCGGTCGTGAGTACCTCGCACGCTGGACCGAGCTCCGGAACAGCTGCGAGGCGTCCATGAAGTCCAGGCGATCCAGTACTTCGTCAGCGGGTGCCGAGATGGCACCCTCCTCAAGCAGAAGCTCTTACACTCTGAGCCGACCACCATGGCCGCGCTCGTGGTGACGGCGGAC